GTTCCCTAAAGACAATATGTCACAGTGACTCTCACACATATCTATGCCATAGAATAAACCACTAGTTCCCTAAAGACAATATGTCACAGTGACTCTCGCACATATCTATGCCATAGAATAAACCACTAGTTCCCTAAAGACAATGTCACAGTGACTCTCGCACATATCTATGCCATAGAATAAACCACTAGTTCCCTAAAGACAATATGTCACAGTGACTCTCGCACATATCTATGCCATAGAATTTTAACTGCTTTGATAACTGTTTTGGGCCAGTATATTTCACAAGTAAACTATGAAATCATGTTTCATACGGCAGAATTTAAATCTGCCCTGTTGATTGTCATTGAATACAACAATTATGTCAGCACATGTCAAGTGCCTTGATTAATCCAGAGATTGAATCTACAGTTTTATCTTGCTAAGGAATTATCACAGTATTTAAAATTTAACACGAAAAATTAAAACCAATGTAACAGTTGTTTTCATGTGACCTGCATTGAACACCATGCTTATTTGTTGCTTCAATAAATCATTGCCATGGCAACGATAGTTTGACTATTTGGTGTCACAATTTAAATATAATTGAAAATACTGTTTAAGTTGTTTTCAATACAACTACAATATCATTTGACAAACTTTTCAATGTATTTTATGAGTGCTATTGATAGTCTTTATATATTTTACATTATTAGAATATAAATCATATGAGATTTCTTCTTTTCTATTCAGTGTTGATTTAACAAGTGTCTACTAGACATGATTCTATTGTCTAGCTGTGTAGATGCAATGCACCCTAATGGATTGTTCTTTTTGTTTGACTAACTTTTAAATTAACTGGGATTTTCATTAGGGTTGGACAATGCTTTAAATAAGGCAATGTTTAGAAATGCAATTAGTTCCTAGTTTTGATTTGTTTTTCATTCAGCATTACAAGTGCAAGTTAACAGCTGATGTGGTCAGTTTCTGATGAAAATCCAGTCTAATTCTTTACATTCCTGTATTACTGTGATGGTAGACCTGGAATAAATATTATAGTAGAACTAGACTATATATTCTCACGGTAGACCATGGCTATATGGCTATGTAGGACTTTTCTAAGTGAAAAATATAATTTTATGTCTCTAAAATCTTGGCATCAACATTGCTTGTGTCCATATTGAAAACGTTGTACAACATTTTTTTTTTTTTATCACCAGTTGATGAGAAATAATGGTGTTATGCAACATAATTTGATCTTCCATTTTTGGTGTCATACAGAAATTCAGTATCAGTATGCTTACAATGTAAAAGTTAGAATAATATTTGTCATGAACCTTTTCACCACCAGTTCCATCTTTTCATCACAAACAGTCCTGTTTATAGTCTGCATTTTCTTTCACAAGATTGGAATAAAATAGCCCAATTTGAGTAAAAACTGAAAATTTCCTCAAATTCGGCCATGACTCCAAAATTAGGGTTCATTTCCTGAAATATTGAAGAATAAAAGAAAATTTGTGGGTAAGAAAGTCTGATGGTAAGAAGTACTTTTCACACAACCATGTCTGGTGTTTGGGGCGGAGTAACATGGAAAACAATCTAGGTTATCAGAAACATTACTGGTGCCAACAGTTGTAGTTAAATGTAAAAAAAAATGCATCAAAGTGTCTATTTTGCATTATTGACTACCGATAATTCTGTTATGTTGGTTTTGAGGCTTTGTCGACACAACTGCAAATACATATAGAAGTTTCAGTTTTCCCAAAGCAGTCACAATATTGAATGTTTGTTCATTTAAGAATAAAGACATGCAAAAAGTTCTAATGATGTTTATATGTTGTTATATGTTGTTTCTCTGAGGACCACTTTTTATTTTACCTTGCTCTCCTTGTAATCAGATTTCTTCAAGTCAGGTTGGTGAAGATAACAATCAACAATTAAGGAATGAATTGGGACGAGCACAGTCCCGGGTTTTCTTCAGCACAAGTGACATATACATGAATTGTATGTGTATGAAATCAATCTTTAAGGAACTGTTCACACAAAATAGCTTGATTTCCAATCAAATTAACAAATCACAACTTATGGTACTTCACCTGAATCAGCATGGACAGTGATCTGCCATTTTTGACTCCTGTGTGCGAAGCACACAATGGGAGTCTTTGCAGTTACCCTGTCTGTATGTGTGTCCGTCTCTTCCACTGATATCTCAAGAACCATACATCGTTTTTGGATGAAACTTGCTGCATAGATGCTCTAGGCCAATGCGCAGATTTGATTAGGTTTTGGTAGAAATCCATGCATATTAATTACCTAATTTGCATGATAATTAGCTAACTTTTAGCTGTTCCATGACTGTTCCACTGATTTCTAAAGAACCACTCATTTGAATTTTGATGAAACTTTGTACATAGATGCTCTGAACTTATGCGCAGATTTGATTAGTTTTTAGTAAAAATCTGTGCATATTAATTACCTAATTTGCATGATAACTGATTTTAAGCTGTTCCATGACTGTTCCACAGATATTTAAAGAACCACTCATTGGATTTTGATGAAACTTGGTACATAGATGCTCTGAACTAATGCTAGGTTGTGATTAGTTTTGTGGGTAAATCTGTGCATATTAATTACTTAATAATGATTTGTTAATTTTCGGCTTTTCCACTGATATCTCAACTACTAATCATCACATTTCAATGAAACTTGGTACCTAGATGTCATAGGACACTGCACAGACCTAGTAGTTTTTAGGGTATATTAATTTCCTAATTTGCATAATAAATTAATTTGATATTTCAAGTAGTAAGCATTACATTTCAATGAAACGTGGTACATAGATACTCAAGGACTACAGAGATTGATTGTTTGGGGATAAATATTTGTGCATATTAATCACCTAATTTGCATAATTAGTTAATTTTCGGATTTTCACGTACATCTCAAGTACCGTACTAATTATCACATTTCAATGAAACTTTGTACATGGATGCTCTAGGACAATGTACAAATATGATCAGTTTTGGGTTAAAATCTGTTTATATTAATTCCCTAATTAGCATAATAATTCATAATTGTTTGGTTCTGATCACATTTCAAAAAAACTTGGTACACAGATGGTGTTACATTGCGCAGACCTTATTAGTTTTACACTCTGTTCATTTAATTTTCAGTTTTTCCATCAATATCTCAAGTAAAAGTAATTTTGAATTATTCTTTACTGTGTCTCTAATACTCTCAGCACACAGGAGTTCTTTCTAAGCTTTCTTTGATTTAGTTCTAATCTTGAAAAAAAAAATGACGTGCACATCGATCAAATAATAAACAAAGCCTAAAAGAATTTGAATGTGTGGAGTAAGACTGGCAATTAATATTTGTCTGCCCTTTAAGATGAAAACTCTGATCCACATAATTAAAATTTATAATACTTTCAGAAAATACATTTCATTTTACATGGGGTTTTAAATTCTGACAAATTCAATGGGCTAATAAGATAATCAATATGCATGTTTTTTAACATTAAACTAATGTCTGCGGGATTGCCCCAATGAACCAAATGAATTAGGCATAAATTTGTTTGTGTATTGTTCCAGGGCACACGTATTCCAAGTTTCATTACAATGCGATTAATCCTAAAAAATGTAATTTTGCAAATGTATAAACCCAAAACTAGATATGTACCAAGATTCATTGAAATGAGATATTGATGGAAAAGCTGTAAGCTGACTAATTAATATGCAGATTTGAATGTAAAACCAATAAGGTCTGAGCAATGTCACAAAAATTAATTATGCAAATTAGGTAGTTAATATGAACAGGTTTGTGCATAAATGTATTTGTGCTAGAACATCTATGCTCCATTGAAATGTTGGGGTGCAAAAACCTGACTTCATCATGCATGGTTTATACCTAAAAACTAATAAAATCTACACCTTGGCCCAGAGCATCTATGAATAAACTGGTTCTAGAGATATCGGTGGACATGCATACAGACTGGATCTCACTGCGTGCATACAAGAGTCAAAAACTGTTAGATTTATTTACAGACAATTCATTGGCCAAAGTAAGAGTATAGTGAGGAATCAGTATGGGCATGAATATAAAAACAAAAAGGTCACTGTCTGCCATTTTAGTCCAAAGGTTTAAAAAAAAAAATTGCACATGATCATCAAGGACTTATTTTGCCTGTGGGCCACTATGTATTGTAAAAGATTGGCTCTAGTCGAATAGTAGTGAATGGGGATGAAAAAGAATTCATAATAGATGTAAAGTATGGTTAACATTTCAGACACGTGCAGCAATATGCTGCATAGATCCATCCAACAAACAATTAAGCCAGTGGTTTTAGATACATTGATAGCACAAGACAAGACTGCCAATGAAACTGGGTTTAATAACTAGGTTAGCAATACTAAGGAACAGTGTTGTTTGATCCCCATGGGTGTCACTGACTTAATATTCATAAGTTAAAATGCAAACGGCCAAGCTATTGTTTTGGACTCCATCTGATTAATCAATAGATTGGGCCATTCCTTGTTAAAATTACCAGTACAGCAAAATGCATTGAACACTGTAATTTCTACAGGGAAATAAACAATTTTAAATTATTGAGTGAAAAGTTTAAAGCATATTTGTTTTAGTCGGTGCAATAGTGATATGAAAAACTTACTTTTACAAAAAGAAAACTTTTGTTGTTGTTGGTAGTTGTATTATTTACATTTAATCACAGTCTCTTAAATTCATACTAGAAGTTGTACAAAGGAACCTTTGAGAGTACAGTAAGAACATTGAATTTCTGACAACAGTATTTGCCTTTAATGCAAGGTACAAAAGAAAATGTATCACATACTCAAATGGTAGAAAATAGTAAAAAAAAACATGTTGCAATATTGAGAACGGCTAACTTTTTTGTGTTGTGCAGAATAACTTCTCATTCAAGTCACACACCAATCTCAGTGTTGAATGTTAGAAATATGTACACCCTGGAAAACTTGTCTTGGAATATAAGTCTTTATTACCATTTACTCCTGTGCTAAAGTTCCATATTTAACCGCTAATGATCGTGACACGTAGGACCAGTATTCTTTACGAATAGCATCAAACTGTTCAGCAAGGGAAGAACAAAGCTGTAACAAAATGTACATTAAAGTTTCATAGGTGGTCTTCAAGCTATTATGTGAAATTTTTAGTTTGCATGATTTTTTCAATTATTCATTTATTTATTATTGAGAGATTGTGCTCAGTACATGGCCATATCATTTTTACCCAAGTGATCAAAAATATCCACTCCCGATAAAACTAAGTCAAATTTTACTTTTATTTCTCATTAAAAAAATGAAGTAATATTTTTTGCTTGGCATCATGATTGAGTAAGAGGAATTATTGGTATAAGTAAGTTATGTTACACGTAACTTTGAAAGTTCGGAAGTTTTATTTGTTCGTTCATTACTGTGAATATATACGTTTTAGAAATTGATGGTACGAATGATAAATTACAACAATACTGAAGGAGGAGGAGAATGTATTTTGGAGTAAATAAGATCGTGAAAATATTCCTGGCTGAAACGTTTCAAATGCGTTTTATTTAACTTTTTACAATAGACATTTATATTGCAATAATAATTTATTTGTTTCTGTTTCTGCAGCATTCGCATTTCAAATATATTTAATTTTTAAATTCAAACTCTTCTGAATTGTGAAACATAATGTCTTAATTATAATTCCAAATATATTTGCACTGCAACCGAACTCATTAATATTCATTGCTAATTATTATTCATATAGCTCATTAATATTCTTAACCGACCGGCACTCATGTTGGGTAGGCGAGATCCCTGTTCATTCATTTGAATAATCCTTTTTGACATCTCTAAATATCCTTCCTCCCTGCACAGCAAGACTACAAAGACACTTAGGGGTGATCTCATATTCAAACATGAGGATCAAACCTACGAAAACCCTAAACCGCCCGTACAAAACCCAGTTTTGCGGTTCGTAAGTTTAAACAATAGACAGTGCGGTTCAGGACGACCGCACGAATTTGCATAAAAACTGCGGTTCGAACCGATCTCATTCACACCTCATTCAAGCTGTTGTTTATTTTTAAGATTGACAGAGTTTACATTGCTTTTTGAAGACTAGATAGTTGTCTCTAAAATGTGTCGATTTATTGGTGTACAGTAGTCATTTTACCGTGTGCCTTGCC